CATGCACAGGTGCGCAGACGGCACCCTCACAGACATGCACACTCACAGACAGCACACACAGACACGCACAGACAAGACACACAGACATACATATGCAGATGCACACAGACAGGCATGCACTGACACACACAGAATCAGACACACATGCAGAGACTCACAGACTTGTACATGCACAGATGGTGACGCAGATCCAGAGACACATAGAGGCAGACATACAGAGAGACAGGGCACACACACAAAGAGACACAAGCACATACAACAGACATGTGTAGACACAGAGGTGTGCATAGACACAGAAATACAAGCGTGGAGACACACACCTGCAGGCTCAGCTCCCGATGGCTGCGTCACCTGCTGCCTTGGTTGTTGGGGTGTAGAGTTGCTGGGTCTCGGGAGGTTCTGCGGTCCAGGCCCGAGACAGTGGCCTGGGCCAGTGGGCCATGGGTGGAGGCAGGGAGGGTCAGGCCTGGCCTGGCAGGTGGCTTCCCCCACCCCTCCTTTGGGGATCTTCAAGACTGTGCAGCGGGGTGGGGGCTCATCCCCACAGCCACCTTGGCTGCAGAGTGCATAGGCGCAGTTGTCCTTGGCAGCTGGGCCCTCGGTGAGCCCAGGGCCAAGGCTGACCAGCAAGGGGAGCCCGGGGGGCTCCTGTCCAGTGTCTGGAGCTGCCCTGGGCGTCTTCCTCTGCTCCTGCAGGGTCCACTGGCCCTTCCATGCCTTGCCCTGGGTCCCTCTGGTGCTCCGGCGCCTCTGTGCCCTGCCCCCTCCCAGCGGAGGCCTGGTCTTCTTGCAGGGTGGCACTATCATTGGCAGTGCCCGCTGCAAGGCCTTCATGACACGGGAGGGGCGCCGGGCAGCCGCCTACAACCTGGTGCAGCGTGGCATCACCAACCTGTGCGTCATCGGTGGGGACGGCAGCCTCACGGGCGCCAACATCTTCCGCAGCGAGTGGGGTGGCTTGCTGGAGGAGCTGGTGAGCGAAGGTGGGTCTGCAGCCTGCGAGCCGGGCAGGCGGCTGAGGTGCGCCGGGCTCTGTCTCCCAGCCAGGCACGGGTGGCCGGGCTGGGCAGGTTTTGCGCCCACGCTGCTGCGGACAGTGCTCGGGTGTAAGCCAGCTGGCCCCTAGGACGTGTTCTCTGGGGGTTCCGGATGTGGGTTAGAAGTCCCTGCACAGTGTGCAGAAAGGCAGTTAGAGTTGAAGTCACATTGGACGCAGAGTCCCATGTCACTGCCCAGAAAGTGAGCCCTGCGGCCTTCTTAGTTCTCTGCCTCTCACGGGGACCTGGGGCGGGGGTCCTGGGCTGCACCGTTGGGACAGGGACCAAGGTCTTGCCCTGTGTGTCGGTCGGCCGAGCTGTGAGACCTCAGCTTAATCTTCCCGCCACCCCCACCCAGGCAGGATCTCGGAGACCACGGCTCAGACCTACTCGCACCTGAACATCGCGGGGCTGGTGGGCTCCATTGATAATGACTTCTGCGGTACCGACATGACCATCGGCACCGACTCGGCCCTGCACCGCATTATGGAGGTCATCGACGCCATCACCACCACGGCCCAGAGGTGGGCGGGGCCGTCCCCCTGGGTGGCGACAGCCGCTGTGCGGGGGCTGTGGACTCTGGTGGCCTGGGTGCAGTTGGCGCAGGTCCGCCCCTCAGCTGGGGGAGAGGTAGGGTCAGCAGAGGGGCTCGCTGTCCGGCCCTGCCCTGCCAGCTGGCCTGGGACACCCAGCCTGGTGCTGTTGGGGTCTGGCTGCCTGGGGTGGGGGTGACCTGTGGGGGGGCCCTCGGGTCACCCGCGACCTTAGCACATCACCGAGGCTAGCGGGAAGTCTGCTGGGAGCTGCGGTCTCCTGCCCCACGCCCTGGCGTGAGCAGAAGGACCGGTCTCCGGCAGTGGGCAGGCTGGCTGCGTGGCCAGGGGCCCTGGCCCTGACACCTTCCCCTGCCCCTCTCCACAGCCACCAGAGGACGTTCGTGCTGGAGGTGATGGGCCGGCACTGCGGGTGAGGAGGGTGCCTGGGTCCGTGGGCGAGGGTGGGTGCGGCGGGGGCAGCACGGTGCCCCGAGGGCCCTGGCACGTGCAGCAGGTGCTCACTGGCGCTGCGTGGTGTGAGAGCCTAGGCCTCCCGTGCAGAAGAGGCCGGAAGGTGCCGCCCCTAGGACTCAGGGTCCTGAGTGGCCCTGCTGCCCCGCAGGTACCTGGCGCTGGTGTCTGCGCTGGCCTCAGGCGCTGACTGGCTGTTCATCCCCGAGGCGCCCCCTGAGGACGGCTGGGAGAACTTCATGTGCGAGAGGCTGGGCGAGGTGAGCGGCCGGTGGGATCCCTGGGCAGCGGTGTCCTCAGCGGACTCTGGAAGAGTGCCGGGGCTCTGGCCGGATCATCGTTGGCCCTTGGCCCCTTGGGCAGGGGGCAGTGCTGACCCCTGGGCTCACTTGGGGCAAGCGGTGGTGCCGGGAGCTCACCCTTTGGTCGGTGCCGAGGACACTGTGAACTGGCTTTCTGGGGCCCAGGCCACTGAGAGTGGCCTCTTGTGAGGATGAGGACACGGTGAGGACCCCCGGGGCCTGGATGAGGACACAGTGAGGACCCCCGGGGCCTGGACGGCGGGGCTGGGCCTATGTCCCCGGGTGTGTGCACCCTGAGGGCAGCTGGGGCCTGGTGCTGGGTTTGAGACGGGATGCCAGTGGCCAGCGTGAACGGGTCCCAAAGCAGAGTGGCAGAGCATGGCCTCCTGGGAGCTGGAGAGCTGGCCCCAGGGGTGGAGTGGGGCTCTGGGATGGAGTGGGCTGACACTGCCATGCAGACCCAAGCGCCCATCTGGAAGGCCGTGGGTCCACTCTTGCCTCCCTCACCTCAGGCCCGTGGTGCAGCACGGCCCAGCTGCCCGGTGGCTCTGGCCCTGGTCTTGGTGTCTGAGGGATGGGTGGGTCCCCCGTGACCAACCTGGAGGCAGGGGGCAGGTGGCAGGTCTGGGGCTGGCAGAGTCCCTATTCCCACATGAAGGTGGTGGCTTCGCTCCCCCTCCTCCTCCCTGTGGCTAGGCAGAGCTGCTGGGGGTCAAGGGTCAGCCAAGGGTCATGACCTGGCTTCTGGAACCTTCTCCAGAAAGCCGGGACAGGGTGAGGTGGGGCCCAGGGTGAGGCCATGTGTTGCCCAAGGGAGCTGTCCAGCCTTTCCAGCAAGGTGGCCCAGATGGGGACAGCTGGGTCCTCCCTGAGCCTAGGGCTGGGGCTTCTGGGAGGTAGGCTGGGTGTGGGCCCACGTCCTGGTTCTTTCCTGCCCCATGGAGGAATCTGGGCTCTCCCCTGCGAGCTGTTTCCTCCACAAGGTCAGGAGTCCTGGCCCTGGTGCTGAGCCCTGTCCGTCTCCGCCTGCCTGGGCTGGCTGCTGGCCAACCCTCTGGCCATCACCAGCACCCCCCAAACCCCCCTTGCCAGCCCTGCTCCCTGTCCTGGAGGGCAGTGGTTCTGGTGGGCCCGGCTGGGGCTTCACTCTTGGGCCCGGTCAGGTCCCGCAGAGTTGGGGGTCTCGCCCTTGCGCCTGTGGGTTCTGGGCAGTGTCCCGGGTTGGGGAGGCTTCTGTGCCTGGTGACCACGCGGAGAGGCTCGGGGCTGCCGCTGAGCCCCGTGTCTGTGACAGACTCGCAGCCGGGGCTCCCGCCTGAACATCATCATCATCGCGGAGGGCGCCATCGACCGCCACGGGAAGCCCATCTCGTCCAGCTACGTGAAGGATGTGAGTGTGGCCCCTGGGGGCCGGGCGCGGGGAGGGCATCTCCAGCCCTCTGCTGACCTCGGAGACCGGTGCTGCCTGGTCCCAGGTGACAGCCAGCAGAGGGTGGCACTGCTGGCCTGAGGGACAGGGCGCCCAAGCCCTGCTGCCGTTGCCCTCTGAGGACCCTGTGGCTTCTGCCCCAGCCCCAGTCCCGGGACCCTTCCCTGCAGCACCACTCTGCCCAGGGCCTCGTGCATCTCACGGTGGGCCACCCACCCCGCAAGGCCACCCCCCAGCCTTCTGTCCCTGGGTCCCCAGAAACCCAGGGGCAGGCAGGAGCTGCACAGCGGGCTCAGACCGTGTGCCGCTGAGCGCCTGGGGCTGCCTGTGGCAGGGGGCCACGTGGACACACACAGAAGCTCCCTGCGTGCACACGTGCACAGGCCCCCACTCATGCACACTCACCTGGACCCTTGGCCCAGACACGGACCCTGCAGTCCTGGGAGCCCGAGGCGGGCAGGGGCTGACCACAGGGCAGGGGCCAGGGGTCGGGAGGCCCAGGAGCCCACGGCCTGACTCTCCCACGTGCAGCTGGTGGTCCAGAGGCTGGGCTTCGACACACGAGTGACAGTGCTGGGTCACGTGCAGCGAGGAGGGACGCCCTCGGCCTTCGACCGCGTCCTGGTAGGTGGGCATCTCTGGGCTGGGTGCACATGGGTGTACGTGTGACTGTGCTGTCTGCGGGTTATGTGGGGGGTGAGCACCCCTCAGCTGTGTCCTCAAGGATGTGATGGAGCCCCCTCCCCCATAAGAAACCTGGCCTTGGTTTTTGGGGCCACCCTGCCTCTGCCTCCTCACCAGCCCTGAAGACCTGGTGGTGTGGAGCCCGACCTTCCTGTGGGGCGGGAGGTGACCCAGGAAAGGGTGCCTGATGGGTCTGGAGAGCCGCTCAAGTGTGTCACTGGATCAGGCAGCCGTGGCCTCAGGGCCTGTGCTGCGTGGCACAGGTGGGGTGGGAGGGGGCTGAGTGCATCGCTGTCCCGCAGAGCAGCAAGATGGGCATGGAGGCGGTGATGGCGCTGCTGGAGGCCACGCCCGACACGCCTGCCTGCGTGGTCAGTCTCTCGGGGAACCAGTCCGTGCGGCTGCCCCTCATGGAGTGCGTGCAGGTGGTGAGTACTGACCCGCCCTGCCCTGGCGGGGCGTCGTGCGGTGCTGATCACCCTGCCCTCCCAGCCACCCCTGGGGTCCTTGGACGTGGGGTGCGGGGCTGGGGCCTCCCACCAGTCAGGTTCTTCCGGCACACCCTGGCCCGAGAGTGGGCGGGCCTTGTGTGCTTGGTTCAGGGGCTGAGGCAGGGGTAGGTCACCCCCAGGTGGGGAACCCAGGAGTGCTGGAGCCACAGGGAGGGGGGGCCTTGGGGTCCAGAGGGGTCCAGGAGTGGGGGCAAGGTCCCTCGGCTTCCTGGAGCAGTGGTTGGGCTGACCTTGCAGGCTGCAGGGAAGGACGTTCAGGGTCAGGGTGATGGTGGGGGTGGACAGGGAGGGGACAGCGACAGTGGAGTGGTGCGAAGACCTGGGCAGGGGCGCTGAGCAGAGACCCTGGAAGGGCAGCTGGGCGCTGAGGGCTGCAGGGCTGCGTGGGGAGACGCTGGCCCTGGCTCAGCAGGCTTGGGGTAGGGCAGGACGCTCTTGGTGGAAGACCCGCCTGGTTTCCGCCTGCGGCTTCAGGGGCCCTGGGCCTGGTTGGTCTCTAGGAGTCCGTGTTGTGGGGCCCTGGGTGTGGCTGCTGGGGGAGGGCAGGTGGCCGGGGCTGGGTGGGCCCAGCACCCTGAGGCGCCTCCTCCCCCTCCGTCTCCTGAGAGCCTGTGCTTTTCGCTTCTCCTCTCAAAGACCAAGGACGTGCAGAAGGCCATGGACGACAAGAGGTTTGACGAGGCCATCCAGCTGCGTGGCAGGTGAGGGTGCTGCGTGTCTCGTGCCCCGGCAGGCAGGGCCTGGCACGCTGGTATGTGTGTCGAGGTGGCTCTGGTGCTTGGCCGAGGTCCCCCATGTGTGCTGCAGGGACGCCTCAGGAGCAGCTCGGTGGGGTGGCCCTGTGGTGAGAAGCTGGCGGGCGTGGGGTAGAGTGGACACAGGCTGTGGGTGGCCAGGGCCGGGGGACCTGGAGGGCAAGGGGTGCAGTGCCACAGGCAGAAGCAGTACGCCGGGTCAGTGCGCAGAGGTCCAGGCCAGCCTGGGGTGTGGCCCTGCCTGTTCAGCGAGGCCTGCAGGTGTTTGGGCTCCAGGCCTTGGGGGCGTCCTGGCCATGACCCACGTGCAGGTTGGTTTCCCCTGGCCAAGCTCCCCGCTTGCTGCCAAAGCTGCTGGCCTACCACAGGCCACATGCCCCGCCACGCGTGTGCTGTCAGACCGGAAGCTCTAGCGTCCAGCTCCTTCCCGGCTTCTGGCCCCATGCCGCGTGGCTCTGAGCCCTGGGTCTGTGTGCCTTTCCTGACTGGCTGTGGTGCCACCCTGTGCCAAGCGCATGACCGCACGCTGTGGGCTGCAGGGTGGGAGCTGCACGAGCCGCTTCCTTTGCAGGAGCTTCGAGAACAACTGGAACATTTACAAGCTCCTCGCCCACCAGAAGGTCTCCAAGGAGAAGGTAAGCTCGGGCAGCCCTGCTGCTGTGCACGGCCCACTGCCCGCCCGCTGCCAAGCGCCCGCCCTCCTGCCTTGGGTCTGAGCCCTGAGCCCAGGTTCTGCTCCACTGTGGAGCAGCTGGTCCCAAGCAGCCATGTGTTGCCCGGAGGTGAGAGGTGCAGGCCGCTAGCGAGCTAGCCGCCTGTGCTTGCCCGCAGGAGACGAGGTGGCCGTGATGTCACTCGGGTCCCTGGGGTGCCCCCTCGTAGCCGAGGACCTCAGGAAAGGATCCCGCCAAAGCCGGGGCGTTGAAAGGGCCAGTTTCTGGTGTCCTGGGGTCAAGCAGGGGCACTGTTCACACGCTCGCAGCCATGCGGTCCTGGCGCAGGGCCCCCTGAGAGGGTGGCGACGGAGGCTGCACATGCCAGCCTAGTGCTCAGCGTCCCATTGGCCGTCTCATGTCCTGCAGCTCCTGGTAGGGCAAAAGAGGTCCCTGCGCCGTCCCAGAACCCGCTGGCACAGAGCACCTGGATGCAGCAGGGCTGGGTCCTTGGCAGGAGCCTCGGAGGGCGGCTGTGCCTGGCCGAGGTGTGCTGACTGCCAGGGTGCGTCGGCTCCCGGGACAGGCTGGGGACACGACGTCATCACTGCTCTGAGCAGGAGTATTTTGACATTTGAGTTTAGTTTGTTTTTAGTTTTAGTTTTTAGTCTTTTTTTTTTTTTTGGTCTTCTTGAAACAGGGTCTTGCTATGCAGTTCAGGCTGGCCTCACTCGCAACCATCCTCCCGCCTCAGCCTCCCGAGTGCTGGGATTACAGGTGTGCACCACCATGCCCGGATGGTTTTTTTTTTTTTTTTTTGGTTTGGTTTTATTTTTCACTTTTTGGAGCTCTCCTTTGTTTGTTTATTTTTAATTTTTGTTTTTTTTAGTCCACGCTTGCAGTCTGCAGCGGTCACATTCCTCTTGGGGAGGTGGTGCGTGTACGTCGTACACATCAGTCCTCCTGCGTCTTCCTCCTCCCGCCCTATCCCTCCATCTCTTGGCCCCTCCCCACTTGCAGAAGAGGTGGGTTAAATGAACTATAGCGATGCCGACGGGCCAGCTCTTGGGGCTCCACGTGGCTGGCGTGAAGCCAGCGCTCCAGGGCTGGTGGCTCTGAGGGCTTCGCAGTGGCTGCTCGCCTGGTTGAACCCATGGTGCTGCCCTCAAGCCCAGCTTTGACGCTGTGTGTGCTTACCCTGCCGGGTGCCCTGCAGTGGGTGCAGGCGGGCACTGTCGCAGTGGCCCTGCCAGGAGCCCCTGCAGTCAGGACAGGCGTGTACTGTTCCCAGAGTGTGACGGTGGCCAGGCTGGCACAGGACCTGCCCTCTTGCCACTTCCTGTCCAGCCCGTGGCTGACCCTCCTGTCTCCCTTCTCTCCAAAGACCAACTTCTCCCTGGCCATCCTGAACGTGGGGGCCCCAGCGGCCGGCATGAACGCGGCTGTGCGCTCAGCCGTGCGGACGGGCATCTCCCAGGGCCACACGGTGTACGTCGTGCACGACGGCTTCGAGGGCCTGGCCAAGGGCCAGGTGGGTGCAGTGTGAGGGCAGCAGGCTGGGTGCCCGTGTGCGGTCAGTGGCGCAGCCCTTGATCGTGGATATTTCAAGGAAAGGAGGGGGCTTTGCATGTGCGGTGTGGGGACGGCCCAGGGCAGGGGCAGATGGGCGGCTGCATCCACTCAGCCATGCCCGGCCAGGCCCAGGGACGAAGCCCTGGTTGTGGCATGACGTCAGCCCCGCCTGGCCTCTGTCCCTGGCCCGGGGAGGAATGGATGACGTCTGGCCTGTCCTCTGACGCTGTCTGTCCTTTCAGGTGCAGGAAGTGGGTTGGCATGATGTGGCTGGCTGGCTAGGGCGTGGTGGCTCCATGCTGGGCACCAAGAGGTGAGCCACTGGGCAGCGGGGCGTAGGGGCAGCAAGGTGAGAACAAAAGCAACACGGGCCCCGCTCCCTATGGACCGGGCAGCTGTTGGCATGGTCACCGTGCCCTCTGGTGTAGCCATGGGGTCTGGGGTGTCAGGATGGGCCTGTGGTCCTGCACGGAGTGGGCTTGAGGCACAATGTGTCCTGAGGCTGAGAGGCTGCAGGGGCCGGAGCAAGTGTCCCCTCCACCCTGTCTCCGTGCCACCGTGTCATGGGAAGCAGGTGGGCCCTGCCTGTCACTCTCCGGGCCCAGCGAGGATGCTGGGGCGGCACCCAGGCCCTTACGCTGGTCTCTCTCTGCCGCAGCACACATCAGAGGGGACTTGCGGACGGGCTGAGCTCTGGCACACAGAACGTGTGTCCCCGGGGTCCGCACACTCACACCGATGTTTCTTGGGCTGCAGGACGCTGCCGAAGGGCCACATGGAGGCCATCGTGGAGAATCTCCGGGCACACAACATCCACGCCCTGCTGGTCATAGGCGGGTTTGAGGTGAGGGCTGCTGGGCCGGGACTCCGGGAGGGCTCCCTCCTCTGGCCACCAAGGGCTGGTCACCAAGCCCTGCGTGGGAAAGGCCGCCTCAGCCACGGAAGGGGCGGCATGAGAACTCGTGCTTTTCTCGTGGGGTTCTACGGTTTGGGCTGAAGTGGCCTTGGGTGGTGCCAGGCTGCTGGCGGCTGGGCAGGGCCGTGGTTGGGGTGAGGGACGGTCCCTACCCCGGCCGCCTCTCCCTGCAGGCCTACGAGGGGGTGCTGCAGCTGGTGGAGGCGCGCGGGCGCTATGAGGAGCTGTGCATCGTCATGTGCGTCGTCCCCGCCACCATCAGCAACAACGTGCCGGGCACCGACTTCAGCCTGGGCTCGGACACGGCCGTCAACGCTGCCATGGAGGTACGGGCAGGGCGGGTCCTGACGCGTCCTCCAACTGCACAGGGGGGACCGGAGGCGGAGCCCTGTGCCCGCCCGCCAGCCCCCGACCATCCCTTTGGCCCCCAGAGCTGCGACCGCATCAAACAGTCGGCCTCAGGGACCAAGCGCCGCGTGTTCATCGTGGAGACCATGGGGGGCTACTGCGGCTACCTGGCCACCGTGACCGGCATCGCAGTGGGTGCCGACGCTGCCTATGTCTTTGAGGACCCTTTCAACATCCACGATCTTGAGGTGCGGCGGCTTGGGCTGGGGCTCCTGGCACATGGGGCGGTGGCTGACGGGGGCCCGGCAGGCGGGGTGCACTGTCCTTGGGGCACCTGTGCACCCTGCACTTCAAGGAGGCTGGCCCTCCCGGGTCCCCGGCTCACAGCCCCGGCTGTCCTGTCCTGCCTCGCGCCTGTCCCGCTCCCCTCGGCCGGGCTCCCCGCCCCCTGCGTGGCTCACTCAAGCCCTCCTGCAGGCCAACGTGGAGCACATGACGGAGAAGATGAAGACGGACATCCAGAGGGGCCTGGTGCTGCGGTGAGGGGCGGGGTCGGCAGGCCAGGGAGGCGGGGGTGAGGGCATCGGGCAGGACCCAACGGCCCCTCTGGCCCCAGGAACGAGAAGTGCCACGAGCATTACACCACGGAGTTCCTGTACAACCTGTACTCGTCGGAGGGCAAGGGTGTCTTCGACTGCAGGACCAACGTGCTGGGCCACCTGCAGCAGGTATGGGGACGGGGGTCCCCTTTGCTGGTGAGGGGACGGTGGCCCACTGCGCACACCGTGCGCAGCGTCTTACGCGCTGCCCCAGCGCCTCCTGCTCTCTGGTAGGCGTGTACCCACCACTCCTTCTGGGTGGGGACGAAGCCCTCAGCCGGCTGGTGGGGCTGGGACTTAAGCCCGAGTTCTTAGACTCTCCTTCACGAGGCGCCCAGTTTCCTGCCTTCTCCGTGGCCACTCCACCCTGTCCCTCCTCCGTCCCCCAGCCTCACTGTGACCCTTAGGAGGCCAATGTGGCCCCTGCCAGTTGACCTTGAGGCCCAGAGACCACCCTGCTCTGTACCCGGGTACCCTCAAAGCTGGACTCCGAGGACCCAGGCCATGGGAGGTCGGAGGCAGGGCTGTGGCTCCGGGGACATGGTATCCCTCTGTTCCAGGGCGGGGCGCCCACACCCTTTGACCGGAACTACGGGACCAAGCTGGGGGTGAAGGCCATGCTCTGGATGTCGGACAAGCTTCGGGCTGTGTACCGCAAGGGTACGTGGGGCGCCCCAAGCCGGACCTTGCCTCCCAGGTGCCCAGGGGCCCAGGGCCTCAGCCAGCACGTGCCTGTGTCCACAGGGCGGGTATTTGCCAATGCCCCGGACTCAGCCTGCGTGGTCGGCCTGCGGAAGAAGGTGGTGGCCTTCAGCCCTGTCATGGAGCTCAAGGAGGACACTGACTTTGAGTGAGTCCCACTGACTGTGCTGTGTAGAGGGGTGGACCCTGGGGACCCCGTCCACGTCCCTGGCAGGTTGTGGAGAGCAGTGGTCGTGGCCAGGTTTTCTGACACTGTAACAGGACAGCCTGGGAGGGGTTGGCAGGGCTGTCATGGTAGAGGGACATGCCTGCCCCCCGAAGAGTGGGGCCCAGACACCCTGACCCCACCTGGGCTGCACTGACATTGCGCACAAGGAGAGCTGTGGGTTGCTGGGAGGTTTGCCAAAGGCGCTGCCCCGACCCCCC